TTTTGAGTTTGTTTTCTAAGACTCTGTTGTAATCATTTCACCTGCGAAGGATAGCGAGATAAAAAATTAGAACGTAAAGTTCGATAATGAACTATAGCCGCATTTAGACCTAGTCCCTGTGCGGAGGTTCCAGAAGGAGTGGACCGATATTCCCCATCTTCGAATTTGAACTAGGTTTGGAAGAAACAATAAGATTAGAAGAAATAATAATAACCTAAAGCTCCTCAAGAATATCTCCTTAAAATTGCTATAGAAATTTCAAAATCTTTTGAAGAAATAGCCGATTTATTGTGTCAGTATTAAGCGACGGCCGGTGCGCTTCTCAAACTTTAAACGCGTTTTTTTCTCGATATAGTGTTTTTACGATATGCGGGTACGATAACTCAAAAACTATTAATCCTATTGGATAAATTTAATCGGTCAAGATCGTCCTTATTTTCCATAATGAATTTTGTCAAAAATAGACGATTTAAAAAAATCCTAGGTCCGTCATTTGGTAATTTTAGAGAGAGAAGTCAATAATTCTAGTTCATACAGAACCTGATATGTAATTTTTTTCTATTTGCGTTGAAATTTGAAGATTCGGATGATCGATGGAAAGATCCTTAAAATGTTTTTCGACCAAAATTGGCGTGCATTTTTAATTTATTTTTTTTTTTTTTGAGGCATTGATTTAAGAACTCAGCAATTCTCTTTCGAGTAAATCAATAAAAAACAGGGTTTCATTTTTTGAATTTAAAATCTTCTTTATTTTTTTATTTTTCATATTATAACTTATTCTTAAAATAGTTTTGACTTATTTTTAATTACATACAGAAAAATAATAAATAAAAAACCATATTATTAAACAATAAAACTTAAATTAATTATACCACAGACTAGTTTTTTTATTACTTGTATGCTTGGATTTAAAAATCTTAATTAGGATTTTAAGATTTCCAAATGAAACCAATGTGACTAGCATTAGTTTCAGAATACTATATATTTTTTGGAATGACTATGAATGACTAGATTTCAATTTTCATTTTTTTAGTTTTGGTTTTGTATTCTTTGTTTTGATTAATTGCACAGTTTCCTTTAGTTTCCAATGGAGAAAAAAAACATACTTGGGATTTGGCGATTTTAATATTTGAAGAAACTTTCAAAGAATTTGGTGTGCACCGCTCCTCTCTCTTATGAACCCTGGTCAGTATTTTTAAATAATTATTTGTATTATTTTTATTATTATCAAATAAACATTTTGAGATTATTATAATTCTAAATTTCATTTCAATCCAACAGAAGATTTTGTTTTCAAAATCTTGTGTTAAATGGAATCGAAATCTTAAAATAATAACTGTTGGTTAACTCCAAATATTTAATACCTTGGAGTTAATCAAGAGCTATTATCTGCTGAAAAATCGATCGGAATATTAAGGTAAGACGATTTAATAACTAGTGGTTAAGTTCAATTTCCATAGAATTGATGTTAAGCAATAGGTATTGTAATATGTTCTAATAACCATCAGTTAACACCAATACTCACATATTTTATTTTGTATTACAGTTAAACAAGGGTTATATTTAAATAAAAAAATATTCAATATTATAATACTGCACCAAATTGGAAAATTGGCCTAAGTTTCAGGGTAACTCATATAACGGTAACTTGTGAACAGGATGCGCAAAAATTCGCTCGCGAATGAATTAAAATACATTCGTTTCGTTTGGTGCTCATTTTAAGAATGAATTTATGGCGATACATTCTTTACCAAACGAGCATTCGTCAAAGAATGTTCGCACACACATAACAAACGAGTGAGAGAGAGAGAGCACACAACAACGATCGTTCGTTTCGTTTGGTGGTTGAAATTCTTTCTGACATTCTCTCACGAATGAAAACAAACATTCTCGAATTATCGCGAATGCTCAAAACAACAATAACAACAAACGTTCGTGAACTCAATAGCGAGCATTCGCGAACATTTGTTTTTTGAGTTTTTCAAAAGAATGTTCTTTACCAACAAATGCTCGTGAAAGAACGAATCGATGACGCTTACAGCGAAATTTTATCGTTCACGAATTTTTCGTACAATGCGAACATTCGCGAGAGATTGAAAACATTCGCGATAAATTGAAAACATTCGAATTCTCGCCGTGAGCATTCGTGAGAAAGGGCGTATATTTAATAATTCTTCTTTTTTTGGAGATTAAAGACATATTTTTTTTTCCAAAATGTAGCTCTAATTAATTCGTTCCTATCAGAAATTATAAATATCTATGATTTTTGGGGTGAAATGGTCCAGCCCCGAATATAGGCATTTTGAAAGTCCAATGCACATTTTCCAACTGAAATGGCCATATAAAAACTTCCGATCGATTAAGGGTTTCTTTTTTTTTTAGACCAACTTGGACAAAAAATTAACACAGAGCTTTTCAGAATAGAAACAGAGTTCTGTTTTCGAGCGACGGATTTCTCTTTTAGTTTCGTTTACTGTGTATGGAAGAGAAGCTTTTCTAGGTATTCTATAAACAGAATATCTTTTCGTAGTAGAATACATCCTAAGGAAAAATATTCTGATAATCTTTTTATAGCCGAAAAAACGACATTTAAATCAATTTTTGTCGATTTGATTTCCGATGCAAGTCGAGGCTCTATGGACCCTGGAACGAACAGGGTGAACGATGTTTTTCTCCGCAAGTTTAACAATCAATAAGATATAGACGAACACTAAAAATCATAGGCCGAACTGGGTCCGATATTTTTTGAAAGGCAGAAAGGTGCTTGAATGAAATCTTATACTGACTACGAAGTCGACTTCGGCGAAAAAAAACATCTGGCGATGAAAAATCTAGTTTCAAGAAATTATATTTCGAAAGGTATAAAATATTAGGACTCGCTAGAAAAATAAAAAATCGAAACTCTCTTCTATGTTAGTGGTGATATGTCTAAATAAAAAATATGTTTTCCATCAGTAGTTTCAAAACGAAGCCATTTTCAGAACATACGAAGTTTTTCCCCCGGCTTATACGGTCTGGAGAAACACCTGCATGGCGTCTGCATCCATTATAGAGGGAAATAATAAAATATCCAGGAAGTACTCGTCTTGGAAATATAAATCTTATTGAAGACGAATTTATGAAAAAAATCGAATCTCCATTTCTATGTCGGAGAAACCCTGTTATCGGGCAGAATGTTTCTTCTTAAGGCCTTATATAGACTATTTTCAAAATTAAAATGGTCTTCTATGGGTGCAGAAAACCAGGACCAACTGTGTCAAGTATAGAGGTAAATTCTTATGGCCTAGGGTTCCGCATAGAGTAAATATCAGAGTGACATGTCAGTATCACAGTAAGCTTCCGTCCCAGGGATATAATTTTCTCAAGGACCATACAAATTTAAAATAAAAAAAAAATCCTCTGTAGACCGAGCTGTGTAAATTATGAAGGGAACTTTTCATGGTCTAGGGTACCGCTAAGAAAAATTATCAAAGTGACCAGTTCTTAGTAATTTCAGAGTAACCATTCCAATTGATATCAGAGTGGCCAGTCACAGTGATATAATTTCCTCTAGACGTCCATAGTTCTATCACTTAAAAATTATTGGGAAATTATTATTTATTATTATTTCGTAGGGTTCCGCATACAATAAATATCAGAGTGACTCGTCCCCATGAACATCATTTCCTCAACAGTTATCCTCTGGTATATATAAAATAGAAAAAAATACCACATTTGGGTCTTCCTTGCGTTAAAATCCTGGAAAATCACCTTCAGAATCGGCTTCGTCAATTGTGGCGGTACATTCGCATAGAATAAATATCAGAGTAACCAGTTCTTAAATTTCCAATCCCAGGGATATAATTTTCTCAAGATGCCTATAAGATCATCAATAAAAATTTAAGGGGATAGAAGTGTTTATCTAGATAACGCTGCATCCCCTTCAGGACGAGCTGTGTCAATGATGGAGATAAATTCTGATGTTATACGGCTTCGCATAAGATAAATATCAGAGTAAAATATTCTTCGATATCAGAGTGGCCGATCCCAGGTATATTCAGGGCGTCTATTATTAAAGGGAATAGGAGAGCTTATCTGAGAGGTCAGTCCACAGAGCACAATGTTTTCAAGGATCATTTTACTGAACCATCACTAAAAAAAGCCCCAGGATATTCTGGGTCAATTTGGGTAAATAAAAATGGTCTAGGGTTCCGCATAGAATAAGCAAATACCTATGTGACCAGTTCCTAGGAAAACTTTTTTCTCAAGTCGTTAAGTAATCAATTAAATAGAAAAATTACCCCAGTATCGAACTGGGGTAAATAATTTTCCAACATATGTAGCCCTTTCCAAAGGACATGATTTGCTCAAGGCTTCAACATGACCATCATTTTAAAAGAAGAAACTGTTCTCAGGAGGTTTTAGATCGAGCAAGATTAACAATTTTTTGAAGATCCAAGTATTCTCAAAAATTGATATCCTGCAGGACCCGATTACCTTCTGTGAAATTAAGAAAAAAAAAATAAAATTCCCCTTTGGCAAAATTCCCAATTTCGATGTTTTTTTCTTTAGCCGAATTTTCTCAAGGCGTAAACAGAACTATCTCTTTGAAAGATAGGAGGTGTTAGTTCTAATCATGTTCGAATAATATTTGCATAGAAAAACAATGAATTCTCAGAAATTTGATATTCTGGAGGGAGGACCCGATTACCTCACGAGACTTTTTAAAACATTTCAAAAACAACCATGTCGCCAAATCTCCATTTCTTCTTCATTCCGAATTTCTTTTCAATTTTTTTTTTTGCACACAAAATCTCTAAAAATTCCCTTTAGATTTCCAAACCATTTTGTTGTTGTTGCATTTCATTAAAGAGTTCATGGCAACTTCGTACAGTACTCTGGCTATCGTTTAGCGAAGATGTTTCCGATGGGGAACTACAAGAAGTTGGTGAACTGTAGCGATGATGTGATGATTGCGAAGGAGAGGTTTGAGATTGTTGTTGTTGCTGCTGCTGTTGAGAGAGCTGTTGTTGCTGGTGCTGCTGTTGTTGTTGTTGCTGCTGTAGATGATGGGCCACCGAATGGGTTATATGCGATCTGGGATCTTCTGGTGTCCAGGTGCGGGCATATAATTTGCTGCCAGGATAACGATCGCCACGACGATACCACGATAAAGAATGGGCCATGCCGCCGGCTGTGGGAAGAGAAGAGAGGAATTATTAGATTTTTTTTAATTAAGGTTTTGGATTTAAGCCGTTTTGAAAAGTTAAAAAGGAAGAAAGGATTAAAAAATCTTTGATTCATTTTAAAAAATTGTAAATTTTGGAAATTAAAAAAAAAACGGAGACTTAAAGGTCCAATCTCAACCCTTTTATTTTTGCCTGCCTAGGTATTTACAGGGAGGATTTTTTTCTCTAGTTGTTGTTGTCTTGTTTGCAGTTTTATTTAATTTGAAAACACTTGAGAAAACATTAGTGCCTACATTACAATGCCATTAGTGGCCAAAATGACTGACGTTTAAAGTGTCGGAGATTTTCGCCAACAAACCGAAGGATGAGCGAGAAAAAGGGGTGGGTTCGTAATGCAAACAAAAGCCCTTGTTGTTGCAGCTGCATGCTGTGCAGGGATTTAATTGTCTGCCGCACAAACACAAACATTTTCGGAAGCCAAGGCATATGTCCTGCCAGCCAGTCATCCTGCCAACCAACCAACCACCCATCAGCTGTGAATCTTCCAATCAGAAATGGTTACCACATTTTTGAAGGGTGGTGACACGCTCTACTTCCCCATACACTTGTTTATTTAGTGCCTGCCCCGGCAATTTGTTGCGATGATGATGATGGTAGACGAATTTATGCGGGTGTGAAACATTTTTGTGGCCACCTCTTCTGGAGCGCAAATAATTTCAGAATGGAAACTTGTACTCAAGAGCTTTATTAGGAGAGAAATGGGAAAATTTGGGGGAGGGGGTGTTGTTGTTGCTGCGAAATTAGCATTACAATTTGATGCTATTTTTCAGGGATGTGTTTCCGCATGTACCCATCATGTTCCGATATTTTGTTGCCACACACAAAATTTCAAGTGTTGCAAGTTGGTGTGAACAATTGCCAGTTGTGCGGAATCTATGTCCTTTGACAAGGATTATAAACTGAAAATACATTTTCAGTCAACGAAAACGAAACAAAGAGGAAAAAAATAAAAACAAGGGGGAATTGTGAGGAGGAGGAGGTGGAGACAATGTTGCGTGTATTAACATCAATAACTCCCACTACCCATTCCAACTTCCCACCTCACTCCTCCTCATTTGTTATATTTTTCCATTGAGCGAAACCAGAGCAAAGCTTTCGCCTATCTATCCTGAGGTAGTCGTAACCTGACATTATTGTCATTTTGTTTCGTCGTTTTTCTTTTTGTTAGGGGGAAGGGGGAGCTCTATGAGCAGCTGAAAATGTTCTCACATGGTAATTATCTAGATGTCATATTCGTACAATATTTGTAATATATTATTACCTGACATGGCGGAATGACGTTCGAAACCTCTGAAGGTTGAACGTTTTTTTTTGCAAAAGACACGTGGAAATTTACGAAAGAAAATGGAGAACATTTTTTGATTTTTTTAATAAAAATTAAGCGTGGATTTAAAAAAAAAAAATATTTTTAAAAAATGATAGGCCTGGATTTCTTAAAAATATTTTTTCAAGACCTAAAATAAGAGTAAATTTTTTAAAAAATGGACGTGAACTTTTTTAGGCGAATATTCTTTACAATAAACCGGTGAGCGGAGCAGTATGGTCGGACGGGGCCGACCATATGATACCCTAAACAACTTCCCCGAAAATATAACTCTCTGTAATTCTATATTCTGAGCTTGGGCAATATTTCGCGACCGATATTTCCACCCTCTTGATGTCAACAAATATTACTAATTAATATTTAGTAAAGCTCTTCTAATTACTTCTCCAGATTACCTACACCGTGAGTTGTGTTGTGATGTTCGACTTTCAGTTGTGGCCTATAGATATCGACTCGAAAAAAAAAACCAAAAAATTATGTTTTCAGTCCACTTCATCCCAAAATTAGTATCTGATCATTACCGAAAATTATAGCCGTTGTCCTTGTCCATACCTGGAATCTCATGGCAATTTTCAAAGCGATCAGCGCTATATTTCCGTCCTCTAGTGTGGAAATGGGTTACTAAATAACATATGAATACGTAAGCACCTTTAAATACATACGACAATATAATTGGTATCAATTTAAAGGTTAACCACGCCTCTTGGATATACTATCAACTTCTGGGGTCTATGTCCTTCAGGGATAAATATATACGCTATAAAACGCAAATTTTGTAATTTTTCACACAAAAGTCAGGGCCCATTTGACCCATTAAATATTGACCGATCTTTAGCAAAACAGGCATGCTTATTGTTTGACCCGATTCCCTTCTCCATGTAAAAATTCGCAAGGTTTGGACCGGAAATTAGAGAAAAAATAAAGTTTTTGGTCCATTTCATCCCATAAATATTAACCGATCTTTAACAAAAACAAAAGGGGTCTTCATTGGCCAGAACCCATCCTACATGCAAAATTTCGTGAAGATTGGTCCATAACTGTGGCCTGTATCGTGTTTACAAATTATAATGGACAGACGGGCGAACAGACACACATGTCTAGATTGACTCAGCTAATCGAGATATGACGATTGGTATACTTAAAAGTGGGTCTAGGTCCAATATTTCGCTGCGTTACAAACTTTTGGGGCTGTACAAAGCTATAATACCCTGACAACATAGTTGTGTAGGGTATAAAAAATAGAAGAATATTTTTACAATAAAAAATAGGCCTGGATTTTTTTAAAAGAAAATTTTTTAGAAAAAAATGGCGTTATTTTTTATAGAATATTTTTAGAAAATTGGTGGGAGGATTCTTTGAAAAATAAGAAATAATTTTAGAAAAATGGGTGTGAAATTTTTAGAAAAAATAGAAGATCCAAAGTGATACAATCTAGTGACGCTTTGCGACCCTCTTGATCGACTAGAGGTCAACAACTATTACTAATACTAGTATATGCGTGCAACTTCGTTAGCGAATGTAGGAAATATTTAAAGATGTATTAACATATTATTTTATTTTCACAGCAAACTACATTAACAATCCACACATTAATATCGACCATAAATTAAATTTGGGTACCATTTAGTATCAAATTTCATGATTCGAGCTCTAGAGGTTCACCTAAATCCAAATTTTCCATTTAGCACATATTATTAACAAAAGTACCCTCTTCAACCATCCAAAAAAAAAACTTCATGCATACCCCGTTCCTACACCCCCACAATGATCCCAAATTCAAATTTCAGGATTCCAACTCTATTGGTTCATCCACAATTTGAATTGTACCAACTTTAGTACACAGTAGTACGAATTTCCAAAACTTCCTTAATACCCCAACCCCTACAATGATTCCAAATCCAAGTTTCAGGATTCCAACTCTATTGGTTCACGCACAATTGAAATTGTACCAAATTTAGTACACTGTAGTACGAATTTCCAAAACTTCCTAAATACCCCAATTCTACACCTCCACCTCCTTCAAATTTCAGGATTCCAACTCTATTGGTTCATCCACAATTTAAATTGTACCAAATTTAGTACACTGTAGTACGAATTTTCAAAACTTCATGCATACCCCGATCCTACACCCCCACAATGATTCCAAATTCAAAATTTCAGGATTCCAACTCTATTGGTTCACGCACAATTTAAATTGTACCACATTTAGTACACTGTAGTACGAATTTCCAAAACTTCCTAAATACCCCAATCCTACACCCCCACAGTAATCCTAAATCCATGTTTCAGGATTCCAACTCTATTTGTGCACCCGCAATTCAAATTGTACCAAATTTAGTAAACAGTAGTACAAATTTCCAAAACTTCCTACATATTTCAATCCTATACCTCCAGTGATCCTGACTTCAATTTTCATGATTCCTAGCACTATTCACCTAAAATTCAAATTGTACCAAATTTAGTACCATTTAGTACACATAAGTATTAATTTGTTAAACTGAATCCTGGACCTAATCCTACATCCCTACAATGATCCTAACTCCAAATTTCATTCTTCCAGCCCTATCGGTTCACCCAAATCCAAATTGTACCAATTATAGTACGATTTAGTATTTTTCGTACACATAAGTAAAAATTTCCAAAACTCCCCATCCCACACTCCGACGGTAATTTTAATTTCAAATTTCAGGATCCCAGCTCGATTTGTACCTTCAAATCAATTTTGTACCAAATATAGTACGATATAGTACTTTTGGTACACATACACAGTACACGCTATCCAAACTCTCCTCATATCGAGCCTACTTCTCAACCTTAATTTGCATTCAAAATTCCAAGTTTTTAGCTCTATCCATTCACATGTTACGAAATTGTACCGAATTAAGTACATTTTAGTACTTTTCGGATAGTTATAGTTCGAATTTCCAAAAACCCTTTGGTACATCTATTCTACACTCCATCAGTGACCCTCAATCCAAATTTCAGAGTTCTAGCTCTACTGGTTCGCCAAATACAAATGATACTACTTTTTAGTACTTTTCGTACCGTTCTAGTACGAATTTCCAAAAACCCAGCCTTATCTGTCACCTTTGGACCAAGAGTGAGCCTCACCCAAAATTTCAAAATTCTAGCTTTAGCCGTTTCGTCTGGGCGTTGATGAATCGCTAAATCTGTCAGTCTGTCAATCAATTTACACTTTTATTAGTATAGATTAAATTTGTACCTAATCTAGTACCATATAGTACTTTTCGTACACATAAGTACACTCTTTCAAAACCATCTCCTTAAATAGACTCTACATCTCAACCCTAATTCGCATTCCACATTTCAAGTTTTTAGGTCTATCCATTCACATGCTACAAATTTGTACGAAATTATGTACATTTTAGTACTTTTCGGATGCTTATAGTTAGAATTTCCAAAAATCCTTTGGTACATCTATCCTACACTCTATCAACGACCACTAATCCAGATTTCAGAGTTCTAGCTGCACAGGTTCGCCAAATACAAATGGTATCACATTTAGTACTTTTCGTACCGTTCTAGTACTAATTTCCAAAACCCCAGCCATATCTTATCTGACACCTTTGGACCAAGAGTGACCCCACCCACTTTACTCTT